TATCTATACCTTCTTTGCTCTATGGATGGTTTATGATGATTTGTGGATGGAATGAGAGAGAGAATTTGGGGGGTTTAAAACAGACACACACACACGCATCCACACACACATCTGTACTAGCAAGCAATTCTTTTGTTGTTTATTGGATTGCCAACTTGAAAGTCGTTATAGTGCTTTCTTCCTTTGCATTCAATGCTGTAACCCAATTTATATGACCTGGTTCTGAGCAGGGCTTGGCGTTGCTTTTAAGTGCTGCAAGCTGGTTTGATGCCAGATGCTCATCTTTGTCTGGATTTTACACGAACGCTCCAGTTGCTTGTTTCATCCTATAGCTTAGACACAAGTGGCTTTTTGATTTTTTTGTGTCTGTAGTACTGAAATTTCAGCATGAAACTTTTATGCGCAAACCCCGACACGTGTTATGCTATAGGTGTGACTCCCATGGGCTGCACCTGTTCACAGAGTGAATCATGGTTGGGCACTGGGTGCTCTTTATTGCCCGGGCATTAGTGCCCCTGGCATGAGATGAAAGATAGGCTTACACCACCAGTACACCCAAGCCTGGTGGACTCGCACTGCGCGACAAGCTTAGGCCGAACCACCAGCCAGCAGCGCAATTTTTGTCTTTTTTGGCTGGCGCCACAAGCCATTACAGTCCGGTAGCCCCGGACCTCTGAAACTTTTTGAAGTTGCCTGGGGCCATGTGCTGGCGGTCTAACCAAGCTGTGAGTTCCTGTCATTCCCGGTACCATTGGATTGTTGTGGGGGTGCTGCCCACCTGGGACCTGGTACTTTGCGCCAGAATCAGAGATAGCTCCACGACTGCCATGCTCATCTCAGGCCATGAACTCGGAGGTCATATACGGACAGCAGATATGGGAGACACACACAGGGGGCAGAATATGCCTTAGGACAGCAGTTGTGGGGAACGGAATTCACAGTCTCACACTGAAAAGGTTTGGTCTTTGTGTATTGACTGTTTGGAAGTTTGGATGGAATTCAACTTTTGGGATGTGGCTGTGGCCCAAGATCTTTGTGAGCCGAACCAGGGGCAAGTGTTCTGGGTGCTTTTTTTTTTTTTTTTTGCGGAGCACACCATTTGCAAGGTTACCCAGGGTGCGTCGCCCTGACCCCAGTTTTCAAAAAAAAACAAAAAAAAAAGAAAAAAGATTACACACTGATACCCAGGGTGCTTAAGGCAGTATTACGGAAGCAATACCCCTGTTGTCGTGTCACGACGGTAAAAAAAAAAAAAAAAAGACCGGTAGACCCTGCTGTCGTGCCAAGGGCTTGGGCCATAAGCAGGTGCTTTTGCAGGTCCTGTGCGTGTTACTGACTGTTCCGATAAGGGGTTTCGCCAGTAGACTTAGATAATTCCTCGTATGAGTGAAACTCCCATTGTCTGTGGCTTCCGGAGCACACAGAGAGTGCGACCAGGGAGCCATCTGACAGTTGGCTTCAGGGTCACAGGGAGTTGCCAGGCGCGTGTTTTTGCCCTGATGCTGGGGAGGAGGAGTTTACTACGTAGTTGTTTTTCCTTAGTGAGAGGGTGACTCTGGGAGGCTTACGTGTGGGCACTCTTCCTACTCTATCATGCAGAGATGGGGAAGCTTACACATTTGTTAATGTCTTCTTATTATAATGTGAAGAGTGAAATGGGGTTATATAACTTACATTTGGTGGTTTTTTTTTTTTCACCAGCTGCACCCAGGTTTGTCCAGCAGTGCACAGGTTCTCACGAACATGCATAGTTGTGGATAGACTGGGCTTTGTGGCTGTGACAGACTACTGTGTTCACCCGAATACAGCGTACGCCGTACAGTCACTATTGCTGTATTGAGACTCAAAGTTGTCCCAAATACAGCTATACTGACCCTACGCTGTGTTCAGGTGAGCACAGTAGAGTTCATCTGCCAGGGTTGTGGGCTTGGTGTGAGTGAAGTCGATTACTTTTCTCAGAGGTGTCGCTAGGTGTGGGTGAGCTGGTGAGTCCACTTTACTGGGTAGGCTGTCGAGGTTCAGCCTCCTGATAAGGACATGGTGAGTACCCATCCATCAGTCAAACGCATCCTTGGCAAACTGTACAGAGGTCCGGCCTTCAGATAAGTCGGTGAAACTCTGATGGAACTCTGTGGCGCAGTCCTTCCACACGAATAGAATGCACTGTCATTCTTGCTGCATCTAGACTGAAAAGAGCCCCAAATACAGCTATAATGACAGTGCGTTCTATTCCAGGGGTGTAAGAACATGGTAGAGTTAGATGCCCAAGGTGGTAGGATCCTTCAGCCTCCAAACACGGTCAAGGACCATCAAGCTCGTTAAGAAGCCAAAAACTGAAAAAAAAGGGAACACATTTTTATATTCATATTCAGAGTTCCACGCGCCAACCGTCGGCGCCCCCCAATCTGTCGGCTGTCGACCCGCTGACAGGTCGGCGGAAGTCGGGCTGCCGCACTGTTCCGCTGCGGCGGCCCAACCCGCAAAGGCCCCATTTTGGGGGTCTGGGCCAGTCGCGGGGGTTGGTCGGCCGTTCGTCGCGCGGCGTGGGAGGCCGCCGACCGTAGACACCGACGTTCCCACGGTCGGTGAAGTTCAAAAGACTGGCTGCCCACATTCTTTGCACTCTCTCGCGGTGGCATTGTGCGCACCCACAGTGCCTAGAGGAGGTGAGAAGAGTGTCGGCAGTTGTGATTGGGGAGGGAGACATGTGCAGTGTGGAGGGGATGGGGTGCAAGCATGAAACTTGCAGAGAGAGAGAGAGAGAGAGAGAGAGAGAGAGAGTGAGCTCCGCCATTCAAGAAAGGCTGCAGCTTTTGGCCTCCTCCGGTCAGTGTACGTGTCTGTGAGAGCTTGACAGAAGGAGTGAGAGAAAGGCTTCTTCTTCTTCTTCTTCTTCTTCTTCTTCTTCTTCTTCTTCTTCTTCTTCTTCTTCTTCTTCTTCTTCTTCTTCTTCTCCTCCTCCTCCTCCTCCTCCTCCTCCTC